ATAGTGCAACAAAAAAAAACTAACACAAAATAAGCTTTATTGCAAGAAAATTGTTGTCTTACAGATACAGACCTCCAAGAAAAACTTCTTCTCTTACAATGTTTGATTAAAAATGTACAAAGTTTCTTTTTCTTTTCAAAATCCCCAAACTCCACAAAAGAAAAGAAAAACCACTGAGTTTAACTTCATATAATCTTTGGTCAGCACTTACATGTGACTGAAACAATCCTGGAACCAGCATGTGCTTTGGCTGTTTTCACATATGAGATTGTGTTACATGACTAGTTACAGGCACCAGCTGTCAGAAAAATAAAGCACCATTGAGACATACATTTAACACATAATGGTAAGAATTTTAAGAAAAAATAATTACTAAAGTAAACTAAAACTCAACTCACTGTAAAATCATCTTTCTTACAACATAAGCTATGATAAAATGAGGCATACGGTGTATAACTACAGTATTAATGATATTTCTAGCAAAGGACTTCAAATACACATTGTTCTTTGTCTGTGTTGCATAATGCACATTAGCAGTCCTGATACTTGGTAAATGCACCATAACTTCAAGCCAGCACCAAACAGTATGAAACATTGAGCGTTCCCTTCAGAGAGACGTTTTCTTCAGCTGCCTGCAGTGATGCAAGTCCGTGGAGCACCTTTCTGAGCATGAGGTGTGGGTCTGTGTGTGGTTCTTTGAGGTCACGGGAAGGAAGTACAGTACAGTTTGGTTCTGCAATCCTAATGGTATTAAAAACAGTCAAGGTATTTTGCTACAGTGGTTGTGCCTCTTCTTCCATGGTTTGCTGTGGCTGATTCAGAACACAATGCCATTGAGCTGCTGTGAAATATCTCTGTAGAGACTGATATTGTAATACTTCTCCTCTATGACACTCTTTTTTTTTCTTTTATTTCTTTTTAATGCTTGAAGTTTTGCAAGAGCACTTTAAAATACCCAGAAGATGTACTACAGTGATCTTTCAGCTCTGATACACTTTTAAATGACTTATACACTATTTGGATCACTGGCCCAAATGCAAAAGGAAACATCTTTCAAATCTATTTCTTTTTAATTAAGAAAGTACCTCTAAAATGTTATAGCTCAAATTTATAAATCTAAAGAAAAACAAGCAAGTTTCCCTTTTTGTTTACATAATTTGTTATTTTCTCCATATATTACTGCATTAAAAATAAATAAACTTCTATATTTTTTTTAATCAGGAACTATAGCAAAATACCCAAAGTGTTACAGACTGCTAAACAGGAAAAGAATAGCTCACATTTATGTGCCATTTAGTGCCATATGATGAATTCTTGAACTTTAGCTTTTTAATATACTTTAAATTGAGGTTATATAAAAGATACAGTAACCATGACTGCCCTTGTAATAGAAGGTGTGGCTGTGGCAGAGTCTAAGTCACCCTCCTGAAGGGGTGGTTCTGCAGTCTTGGCAGGATGGAAAGAAAAAAGGGCTCTTCCCCTCTCCCTTCCTCCCCCAAAATTCAGTGACTTGTTCAAAACCCTTTGGAAAGCAGATACTCTCAGGTGGGCAGAGAGGAGAACAGAAGTGACTGAAGAACTGGACTCAGTTGGAACACGGCTAGTAGAGGTCTATCCACAGCCTCATTCTGAGGGCTTCCCCAAGCTCTCCTAGGAGGTAGTTGTCCTCATTGCTGTCTTCCAGTTTCCTGAGCTCCTTTTTCTTGTACAGGGGAATGCTAGTGATTTCCAATGTGTGTAGTCCAGGCACTGACTTTTTCTTCACTGTGTGCAAGTAACTCAGCCCATCCCTCTGCTGGATTCGGAAGGTGCCATCCTCGTTGCCGTGTGAGATGACATAGCGCACGCGGTGGGTAAGGGGCTCGATGGCTGGTATCAGTTCCAGGATGTGCTGCTTGTTGTCCAGCCTGGAAATGTTGAGTCTCATCTTCAGAGGGCTATCCATGTCCAGACTCCCAAAACCAATCAGCTCGATCTGAAGTTAAGGAGGACAGAAGGTTTACAGCAGGAGAGAAACAGATATTCACTTTCTTTGAGAGAGGAATCATCATAGAATCATAGGATTTAAGCGTTGGGATGGACCTGTCAGATCATCTAGCCCCCACCCCCTGCCCTGGGCAGGGACACCTCCTCACTAGATCAGGTAACTCAAGGTCTCATACAGTCTGGCCTTGAACACCACCAAGGTTGGGGCAGACACCACATCCCTGGGCAACCTGGGCCAGTGTCTCACCACCCTTAGAGTAAAAAACTTTTTTCTCACATCCAACTTAGACTTTCCCTCCTTCAGTTTGAACCCAATAATAATATGTGATAATTAACAGTTTCTCCATTTGTCAAAATCTACCTGTGAAAGAAGCAATTGTAAATCATTTCCACCTGGGAGAACTGCTTGATCCTATACAATACACTCTGTAAATCTTACAGACTTCTCGCACAGCCTTAACAGGATGAACACCAGGAGACTCTGATTTCAGATTCTTTTGAGAATCTGTTTAACTTCATGCTGGCAAAGAATTCATGTAAAGAACAGTATATTTACTACTGCAGTAAAGACTGTACATGAGGCACAGTCTTGTTCTTATGACCACTTCACACTACAGAAACACATACCATAGCATTGTATGGGCATTCCCTGAAATGTTCCCTGAAATTTCCCTGAAACCATTTTAATGAACCCTTCTAAAAAACAGGGAGGCACACCATCTGGTCATGAGGAAGTACCACTTAAGAAGGAAACTGAAGTAAGGAGAGTAATGCTGTATTGTTAGCCTTCTACAGAAAGAGCTAGTATGTCACCTTGTCCAGTTACATCCTACTTGGATCACTGAAGGGAGTGTGGATCTTTCATGCTGGTAAAGATTCAAGCCACATATGAGTACAGATGTGTACCAGTATGTAATGCAACGGAAAACACATGGTGGAAACAAGGAAAGTCTGTGGATTTTCAGCATTGAACGTGGCCTGTTGAAACACTCCCTCCATTTACTGGTACTGTTGGTATCATAACCCTGAAAATACCTCAAAGTACATTATAGTGCTTATTTATCCCAGTACATACAGTGTCATTAGCACTTCTCTTCCTCCTGTTGTCTTTTTTGGAATAGCCATTGATTTTGCACTCATAACATGCTTCAGGGGACAAAGCATTCTCTTGATCAGCATCTCCATCCAGTGGCAGGTACTGGCCTTTGGTAAATCCCATCCCTGAGACACAGTGTCTATTGAATAAAAACATTGGGGTTTATTGCAGTTTTATGAACTGTCCCATTAAATGGAGAGTGAGTGTATGTAATCTGTACCATGATATCTGTATCTTTCTCCTTGCCCTTCCCTCAGCAGAAAGTCTGTGCATTAATTTCCTTCACATTAGCATGGCATTTTGAATGAAACAGAACCTCTGGCTAAAGGTTTGTAGGCTTTTCTAATTTTCAAGTTTTACAGAGAAACAGAACAAAACCAGCCTGCCCTGAACTTGGGCACTACAGAATTTAGCCACTGTCATGTACCAGAACAATGTCAGTTTGTGTTTAACATTCTGGATTCATCAGTGTTGCTGAAAACCCCCATTTATCTCAGAACAGATGGCACCTATTCTTACACAGTATCAGTCCTCATTGAGCAGGTCTGTGACAGTGTTTGTGTGCTGATACTGGAGGAGAAAACAGAACTCATTGTTTAATGTTGCTTATATACTAGATTTAAAATGAATGTCATGTTGCGTGCACACACGTGGTTTTTTGGTTTTTTTTTAGCTTCTGGATACTGAGTGCAAAAGGATGTAGAAAGGATGACTTGGTAGTTTATCCCTCATTTGCACCTCTGCTCCTCAAACCAGCCCTTCTGAATGTGTCCTTGGTGAATGACTATGTGAAAATACTCACCCTTGTCCAACTCTGTAATAGCCAGGTGGACAGCCACAAAGATAACCACCTTCAGTGTTGGAACAACCATAATTGCAGGGGTTCTTGGTTGAAGAACACTCGTTTACATCGTGGCATGCACTGGAGAACTGGTCATAAGAGAATCCAGATGGGCAGGCACACTTGTAACTTCCAAGTGTGTTGTAGCAAGAAGCAGAGCCACACATGTTAGGATTGGAGCATTCATTTTCATCTAGCAAGCAAACAAAAAAAGATACTGGCATCTTTTAATCTGACAGACATCAGATAAGTATGATGTAGCTAACAAATCGAGTATCTGCAAGTCCTAGGGCTCTGCTACATCCTTGACCTCATTACCCCATAGAGACTTGGTTTCTGAATAAAAAATACATTGGCAAAGGTCTCAAACTCATGTAGCTGAGCTGAAAAGGTATTTTAGGATACTGCCAACCTTATATTCACTCAATGTTCACAGTTCTTTCAATGTCTATCTCCTGTTTTTCTTAAGGATCCTCTTTCTGCTGATGGAGGAGATAGGAGTGTACCACCTTACCATACAAAGGTCCACAGAAGAGAAATGAGCAGTCATACTCCAACCATGGTAGTGTTCCTGGGCACCTAGTGATGGCTAGAAGTTTTCACATGCTTGTAGAGAAACCTGCAGGCTCTGTGAGGGGAAAGCCAAACTAAATAGCCAAATGAATGAAAGAAAATGGAGTATCATCTTCATCTTATGGGTGTTAAGATACAGAGAAGATGACACCTCCAGTCAATATGACTGATTTGATTTCAGACAAAAAAAGAAAGTGTAGCTTGTGGCATGGAAAATCATATTTTGATAGTTGGCATGATAGTTATTTTATTTATCTTACCAAGGTACTCTTCTCTTATAGGTGTTTTCCTCTCCAATACCATTAGCAAATGCTTTACCATTGTTACCTGCAGTCACTAGGAGACTGATTCTTTTGAGGGCTATAATTCTCAGAAACTGCAGCTGGTTTGGAGTTTTGTCAGAGTTGTTTGTTGTGTGTTCTGTCTCTCTCACCTTAATCCTTTGCTTTCTTTGCTGTAAAGCAGTGTTAACTCAGGAGTGATGATGGTGATTGGGACTTCAGAATACCTGCCTGGTGTGCTACCTAATGTAAAATGGATAGAACAAACTAATCTTTACGTCTAGGATCAGGACAGTAATAACAGCCTACACAAAATGTACAGCAGTGGTCACAGTCATCCTCTGATTATGACACCAATGACAGAGAACCATGAAAGCAAACCTGAAAAGGTCCATGTGTTGTTATGGTCTTTGTGAACAGTACAGGATGAGGCTACTTTCGGGTTTATTGGTTTCTATTTTAAAAAAAAAATCCCACAATCAATTTCATTTGGTATGGGTTTTAGCTTAGTTCATGAAACACTGAAAGCAAATAATGGATTGGATGAGCTAAATCTACAAGAAAACTCCTGAGCTTCCTGATTTGTCCCTGTGCCCTGCAGAAAGAACTAATGTTGGCCTTAAGACTCTACTTTGGAAGCAGGAAACCCTTAATGATTTTATTGATGTTTTTCTGACAATTGCTATAGATGCTATTCTGTAGTATTGTCAAATTGCTACTGATACTGAGTAATTCTTACTGATGATTTTTTTCCACCAGCAAAGATGTTTACAATGATGCTTTCAAGAATTCAGTGAACATCTTTTTACCTTTGTAAGATGGGGATTTTTCCCAGAAGAAGGGAGCCACCATTTAGGCCTTACTAGGAAGACTTCGTGTCACACAGAGGTTCAACAGGACGAGGATGCTTTTTTCTTACCTCCTGTCATTGATTTATTTTGGGAGTAGTAAGTGTATGGAAAGAGAGGGAGAGAGATAATGAAGATTTGTTTCCATACCCTTTGTTCTGTCCATTCTTGTCCTTGTCTGGCATTGTCCCTATAAGCACCATTATACCTTTGCTGTTTAAATGTATTTCATGCTGTTTGTTTCCTTACCAACACACTGATTCCACTGGTAATGCTGAATATATCCTTGTGGGCATCCACATCTGTATCCACCCAGGGTGTTTTGACACCCATGCTGGCACCTATGGTTTCCATTACATTCATCCACATCTGTGTGATCAGGAGAGAAGTAGAACATGAAAGAACACATGACTACACGCACTGCCAAACACATTACTCACTTGGATCAGAATCACTGGAACACCAGCATAGGTTTTTTGCCTTGGTCTTCATCAAGTACTCCAGCCACACCAGCTGAGTCTCAGAAAGGCAGGGACTGGGACAATGAAGAGCCTCTCACTGTAGGAGGAGACCAGGCTTGAGACTATTTAAGGAACCTGAAGGTGCACAAGTCTGTGGGACCTGATGAGATACATCTGTGATCCTGAAAGCGCTAGAGCAGAAATAGCTAAGCCACTATCAATCACATTTGAGAAGTTGTGGTGGTCCAGTGAAGTTCCCAGTGACTGGAAAAAGGGAAACATAATCCCATTTTTGAGAATGGAAAAAAGGAAGACCCCAGGGAACTACAGGCTAGTCAGTATAACTTATGTGCTCAGCAAAATCATGGAACAGATCCTCCTGGAAACCATACTAAGGCACATGGAAAATAAGGTGATTTGTGACAGCAACATGGATTCACTAAAGGCAAATTAAGCATCACAAATTTGGTGGTCTTCTATGGAGGATTACAAAGGTGGTGGATGAGGGAAGAGCAACTGACATCATCTACCTGGACTTGTGCAAAGCATTTGACACTGCTTCACATGACATTTGACAGGTTGACCACTCAGTGGATAAGGAACTGGCTGGATATGGTCAATGGCTCAATGTACATCTCTGTCAGTGACACAGACAGTGGGATCAAGTGCACCCTCAGGAAGTCTGCCTGTGACATCAAGTTGAGTGGTGTGGTGGATGTGCTGGAGGGAAGGGATCACATCCAGATGGACCTTACAGGCTTGAGAGATGGGACCATGAAAACCTGCACGTGGGTCAGGACAATCCCAAGAACAAAGACAAGCTCAGTGGAGACTGGATTGAGGGCAGCCCTGAGGAAAAGGACCTGGGAGTGTTGGTGGATGAGGAGCTCATTATGTCTTGGCAATGTGTGCTGTGCTGGCAGCCCCGAAAGCCAGCCATGTCCTGGGCTGCACCAAAAGAAATATGGCCAGAAGGTGAGGGAGGGATTCTGCCTCTCTACTCTAATCTGATGATATCCCACCTGCAGTGCTGCCTCCAGCTCTGGACTCCTCAGCACAGGAAAGATATAAACCTGTTGGAGCAAGTCGAGACAAGGCCACCAAGATGCTCAAACGGCTGGAGAATCTCTGCTACAAAGACAGGCTGAGAGTTGGGGTTGTTCAGCCTGAAGAAAAGAAGACTCTGGGGAGACCTTAGAGCACCTTTCAGTACAAAAAGAGGCCTACAAGAAAGCTGGAGAGGGACTTATTACAAGGGCATCTAGTGATAGGACATGGGGAGTGGTATTAAACTGAAAGGGGGCAGGATTAGATTAGATATTAGGAGCAAATTCTGTAAAATAAGGGTGGTGAGACACTGGCACAAGCTGCCCAGAGAAGCTGTGCCTGCCCCATCCCTGGAAGTGTTCAAAACAAGGCTGGATAGAACTCTGAGCAACCTGGTCTGGTGGGAAGTGTTCCTGCTCAGGGCAGGGGATCGGAGCTAGATGATCTTTGTGGCGCCTTCCAAGTCAAACCATTCTATGACTTACAACGCAGGAATACTGCTGCAAGATGAAAGCACCATTCAGGTTGTTCTTTTGGAAAGCATGGAAGTGAATTCATGTAACGTTCTTTCTATCTGTCAGTAATCTGGAGGTCTTAAGCCTTTATATTACTCAGATTTGGAAAAGAAACAGAAGTTCTGGAAATCCAAAGTGCTTTGATGCAATGTTTCGAATTTGAATATTTTTTTTTCAATTTTAGTTTCAAATCAACTGTATAGGACTAAACTTTCAGTTTTCTGCTATATATTCAAGTGTTTGAATACCAAATTTGGATATCATAGAATCACAGAATCATAGAA